AACAATGCATGGGGTCACACACGGAAAGATAATGACAGGTTTATAAAAACCAGTCCAATTTGGTAGAGATGTAATATTACACTCAGGAAGTAGCTCTCTAGTGCCTTGTCAGTCTTTAGGGATGTTCTCTTGACTCTGGTGCCCTCTCATCAGAGGGTCTGCTGGGATCCCACCTCCCTCTTTTTCCTTCCCTTCTATCCTGTCCTCTTGGTTGCTGGCAGTTGCCTCAACCACCAGCATGCTCCTGTTACGGCCCTCTAATATCCAAGTGAGGAGATAATGAAGAGGTAGTGCTGTAGCCCCCAAAGGTGGGGAAAAAGTCGTGTCACTGCAGATGAATGATATGTCTTTAAACCTGGAACAAATGATAAATTTAAGCAGTGAAACTTTGTAAATCTTCCAATCATGCCAAATGTTTACAAAGAAAATATCGAGTTCTCTCCTGAGAAGATCCTATGGCACCAATAATGTAATTAGGCCCTAATGATATTTAGTTAAAGCCTCTGGATTCCAATTGTTAGGGCTACAATTCTGCACAGGAAAGGAGGAAAGATGGAAGACAGTGAGGGAGGGAAGGAGGAAACAAACCCATGTTCCTGGTCGAACACCAGTACTCAGCCATGGCTGTATGTTGAATTGTCCTGAGCAAAAAAAAAAAAAACTCTCAATGCTCAAGCCCATCCTCAGTGATATTTAAAATCTGCAGTGATTCTATTGTGAAATCAGTATTGAAATTCAATAAAACACCATATCATATTCTATTAAATAGTGACTCAAGAATATTTAATTACTCAAGAAGAGTAGTCACTCAAGATAATTTTTATTGTTAATAATTGTTACCAGAAACCCACCAGCTTCTTATTACAGAGGTCTAAAAAGCTGGAAGGCTCCCTGAGAATTTTCTCTATCCCTGGGTTAAAAGCAGCCATGTTCTGAAATCCTGACTCCCGTTTCTCTGAGGGCTGCAGAGTAGCCCTACGCCATATAATTGTCCTTCCCTCTTATTTCTCCAAAATTATTGCCAGGTCAATGCTTCAGGCTTGGTATAGTCAAACTGCTTTTTCTGATAATAAGATAGCCTCTGCCTTTTAGCATCCATAGATCATTCCCACATTTCTTATTAGCTAGAGGTTCATTCGTTGACTACATCAAAACTTTTATAACTGCTGGCCAGTTGAAAAAAGACCTGAGGCAGAGTGATGAATTGGAATGAGCAGTGCTCTGAAAATCTCAGGGTGTTGAACCAAGTTACAAATTTGCCCTTCTAGGTGACCTGAAGCAAGTTGCATACCCTGTCAGGCCTCTGTCTCCCTAAACATAAAGTGACAAAGTTGGATGTTACCTAATATCCACTTGCTACTCTGAAATGCCACTATTTTCTGTATGCTATTTTTTTCTCCATTTTCTGGTAATGATGCTAACGAACGGTAAAGGATGAGAAAGTTGAATACAGAGGAGAAGCATAAGAAGAAGCTAATGATCCGGATGAGCCATAAGTTGACACATTTGCTCTCAAACCATTGAACATATCCCTACAAGTTGCCTTTTGAAAAGACTGTAATAGAATCATGTGGCAGTAAAACTTGGTAGGTTCTACTTTCTGCTACAGGTCTGGATAAAAAAGACCATTCTCACTCTCCTCACACTGTGAAAATCACCCTTGCAAAATGGGAAAGCAATGATCTGATTCTCTAGTTGTTAAATTGACTCTAAGAGAGAGAAAGTGGAAATACTTTAAAAAAAATCCTCTAACATGCCAGTAAAGATTTAAAATATTCAAGCCCAAAGTTCAGTTCACTCTTCCTTCATGATAGCTCTTGCACTCACATCTCTCCATTCCTTTCTTCCAAGAGACGTGACCATCTCTCCTCATGTTACCTCCTCCTCAAGATCACCCTGTATATATGTTTGTGCCTCTTGATGTATGAACTGTCCACTCCAAAAAAGGTTTAAGACACTGTATTTCCTGCAAATTAAGACTAAAGTGTTTAGTGCGACATTTCCAGATCTCATATACTGTGGCCTATAACTTTTCTTCTCATTTTTTTCCCAACACATTCCCTCCAACTAGTTCAGAACACGTATCCATCCCTCAACTATTCTGTGAAGGTTCCCTACTCTGCCTTTGCTCAGGCTGTTCCTCCCATATGGGGTGGCCTTCCTCCTTTTCTGTCACATAGACTAATCTTGGACATCCTTGGAAGCTGAGTCAACTCTCATTCCTTCTCTTCCAAGAACCCCTCATGCTGGGCGACAATGATCTTTCCTTCCTTCAACTGTAGCAAGCAGCACTTATACTTTCTTGTACCATCTACTATGTTTTGTTTATTGCACATTTCTCAGTTAGATTGCATACTATTGGAGGATAGTCACGGTATTAAATTCTTGTATTTTTCTGGCTGCTTACCTCTCTCCCTCCCTCTTTCTCCCCACTCCCCTTTTCTTCCTTTCTTGTTTCCTGTAATTTGTGCAGCATAGTGGGGTCCTTTGTGCTTCTCTTTCACCCAACATGACCACTGGGGTACACAATTTCTCTTTAGTTCCTTTGTTTTTAGCCTAGAATTCAATACCCCTTCGCATGTTTCTTTGGGAGAATACTAAGTGTTACTAGGGCACATGTCCAAGTTTAGGTTCCACTTTTGAACATTATGTATAAGTTTCTCAAAAGCACAGAAATGATTTAGGAAATATGAACAAATGGAAGGAAAAGAATGAAGTTTTCCAGTAAACCACTTAACTTTATTTCAATCATGTGTTAAGTCACACATTCGTCATTTCGAAAGTAGTGATAACAACTGCAAAATACTAAATGGAGAAGAGACCTCACCTTCTGGTTCTACAGACGAGTCAGCTAAGGTTCAAGCAGAGACACCAAGTCTAAATGAGGCACTGCCTCTTGCAAAGTCTCTTTCCCCTTCCGGCTGCACTTCTACAAAAAGGGTCTGCTCTGTTTCTGCCAAACCCTTCCCTTTAGGTCCTTTCTGTTTCCAAAAGGTTTTCTGTAAAATACAGCCTTCTCCAGGGACCCAAAGTTGACCAAGAAGATTTTTGAAATCTTTTTACTTAGGCTTCTAGGACAGAATAATTTTCTAGAAGTGGGAAAGCTAGACTCTAAGCCTTGGTCAAGAGAGAACATTTTTGTGGGGGTGAGGGGCAGGGTGGGAGGAGCTGTAGATTTAGATATGCAAGTAGTGATTTTGTTTATTTTTGAGTCTCTCAAAAGGCAAAGAATCTGAAGATAAGCAGAAGTGGAATACAGCTGGGACATCCTTTGCCATAGAACCCCCAGGCAGGCTTGGCAAGGGGTTAGAAAGGATGCACGGCCTTTGCCTGTCTCTCTACAGGGAATGGAGTCCTATTGGAAAGACACCTCACCCGCAGCCTTAGAGACAAATCGCTCTCAAATTCACACTGGGATCCCAGATCTGCACAACGTTGGCATACCCAGTGAAAGGAAGAGTAGGACTTTGCCCTACTCACATCAGCCCTCCTGCCTTTGAAACTGGGACCAAGGCCGCTCTTTGCTTCATACCTGGTCCTGGACCTCTCAAACATTTAACCTCCCCCTTTCTCCATCTCAATTTTGGGGCGGGAGGAGGGTAGAAAGAAGAGGAAGATAAAACTTTTTTGTGTCTGTCCTAAAATTACAGCCAAAAACTGTGCTTTTTGTGCGTTTTCCTTTTGAAAGCCTAGAAAGCGATTGCAATTCTACTCCCTTGCTTAACATGCTTTCATCTGTAAGAGCTTTGGGTTCCCAGGTGTAAGAACTGCCTTGCCTGGCGCACCTAAATGCTCATCCGCCGCAAACATAGTGCAGGGCTGCGAACCCCTTTGCCGTTTGACTTTGTCACTCGAGGGTCCAGCACAAAAATAGTTAAAGGTTAAGGATCTCTCCAATCGAGAGCTGTTAACACAGAGGTCGAAGCTCATCACAGGCATCAGGTTTGCAGCACTGCCTGGTCTCAACGATACCCCTCTCCAAGATTTCTCGAGTGGGAGGCTGCGGCGGGGTCTCCTGTCGTTAATTCGCGTCTCCAACGCCCGGGCAGAAGGTCCGGGCCGCGAAACCGCGTCGGTCTTCAGGACACCCAGCTGTCTATACCAGCCCCAAACCGGAATGAGCCGAACCTCTACGACTACCTCCGTTTCTCACAGCCTTGCTACTTGCTACCGCTCCTGGAAGTCCCTCGAGGTCCCTACTACTTCCCAACCCCGAAATCCTTCCAGCCCACCAGAAACACTTGGCGCCTCTTGCCCCGCGGCTCGTGCGATCTTGGCGCTGCAGGCGGAGTAGGGTGCCCTTCGGGGGCGCCCGGGGATCCAGCCCCACCGCCGCACCCCCGCTTTTCCGGTTCGCAGCCCCCACACCCCACGCCCCGCCCC